GTAATACTTCTCTTTTTATTCATATATTTTGCAATTCTTTTCGCTTTTTATATTTTTCGGATAATTTCTGTAAGTATTTTTTAGTTTATGTAACTAATTTAAATAAAATGTAATTTTTAACTTTGATAAAATAATTGAGAAAAAAAAAGTATAAATTTATATTATATCTTACTTTTTCGAATTAATATTTAAAAAATCATGTCTTTTGTCTTCTGTCCTATAAATTAGTTATTTGACGAAGGAAATAATATATCATTCCCTCATTTGGTATATTTTGCATCCACCGTAATCAATATATTTGCACATATGTGCTTATATTGCGCTCTTGGTGAGATTTTGGTTGCCCAGGTTAGTTAATTATTTCTCTTATTTCTTATAAAAATCATGTTAATTTTGTGTCGCATAATTATCTTTATAAATTACTACCATAATTTATGTAAGAAATATTTAAATTATAATGCATTAAATCCAGTTGATTACATATAGAAAATTAGTATTAATTTCTATATTTGTGAATACAAATTAAATTATTGATATAACTTTATTTAATTTTTGAGTCAGCTAAACAAAAGTTTTATGAAAGTTCTTAGAACTGACAATGTAGATTGATTCTGCAATAGAATGTAGGAAATATAAAAAAGTTATAATATAAGTTATCAAAATATATTCAATGTTCTATAATTAACTTATATTTTATTACTAACAATTAACTTATATTTAATTACTAAATAAAGTATTAAAATTTTCGTCTAAAAATACTTTCGATACTTTCAAGTGCAATAAAATATATTATGCAGCGTACAATAATAAATGGTACACCATGAACTCTAAAGTAACACAAAACTTGTTGATTTTAATGATCAGAGGTTCTAAACCAGTTTATCTTACTGCTGGAAAGGTATTCCCTGTAACAATGGCAACGTTTTGCAGTGTAAGATATCAATGTTTCACAGTAATTATTGTATTAAAATTTATTTGGCATATAATTTTATAATATGTTTTATATAACAACCCAGGAA